TTGAGGCACGGACACCGGGAACGGGTTGCGAGTGACGCCCTCGGCCGGCGCGCTGCTTCAATGGAGGAGACAATAAGAGGTCACATCTGCCCTAAGACGTCTTCAATATGGAGTGGTGCGCTCTATAGCGGCATGAATGCGGCGCAGCTGACACCGGGCGGGAATGTGCGCGGGCGAGGGGGGATGGGGGTTGGGTAGGCCATGGTGGTCAGAAGAGGGTGTGGTTGCTGTCTGGACGTCCGCAAAGCCCCCACGTTTGTCTCCGGTTTACAGGAGAAATTACGTACGCATCGCGGCCTGCGTTAGATGGCTTCCACGGTCCGGACGGATGCGGGCTGTATGAGAGCCCGCGTTAAAGATACCCTAAGCATATTAAGTTTTATTGGGGTTGCTTTTCTACTGAATATGATGGATAAAATCAAACGCAATGATGGCATCCTTTTAGAAGTCATATATTCCGTATAATAACATCAATTCTTAAAGATTTTAATCCGTCAACATCAGTCGAAGTCAGTTGTAGGTAATTAGTTATATATGATGCACATTATTTTATCCATATCGATAGCGATCGATAGACCTAAGGGCATCTCCAGCCGTTCGGCCCCCCAGGCCGCCTAAATAGAGCGGCCTGGGGGCGTGCCGACGCTAGTTCGGCCCCTGGGGGCGACCTAGCTCCCAGTCACGACCCCAAGCGCCGGCCCCAGGATGCGGGAAATTTAAACTTGGTCGTTCCCGCTCTCAAACGACGTCACAAATCCGGCGATCGGACGTAGTCTGGCGTTACAAAAAACAGAGCGCTGCACGCCGCAGGTTCACGTGCGCAATGATTCACTCAGCGGGGTCGGCTCCAGGCGTTGGCGGAGTCGGCGTGCGCGGGCTCGGTGGTGTCGGAGTTGCTTCGGTGCTGGGCTGTGTCGGCGCAGCTTCGGCACTGCTGGGCGGCGATGTAGAGGCGTCGTTCGGGTTTGGCGTCCGTGTGGTCGTGGGCGCGGGAGCTTGCGTCGTCGGCGTCGTCGGCGTTGCCATCTGCATCTGGTTCAGGATGAGGCCGCGCTCCGCCATGTACCACGCCCTGAGCTGCTCGTCGTTGCTCTGGAGCATGTCCGCCCCGCCCATCAGAAAAGCCATGTCGGTGTTCCTCTTCTTCGCGGCGACGTTCGTCCGGAGCAGGTCGAGCTTGATGGCGTTGTTCTTCATCAGCGACGACCATCACGCCTCGGTCTTCTCTTCACGTAGGACAGCCCGGGCCTGGGCGTCGGCGAGGCAATGCTCGATGGACTCCTGCACTCGCGTGGTTGCCGCGTCGGCGTTTTTCCCCTTCTTTGCCAATTTGTGGCCGTCCGGCCGCCCCTCTGACGCGCCCGGAGTCGTCGCGTCCGGCTTGTATGTCTCCTTGGCCTTGTCGAGGGTACGTCGGACTTCCGCCCACTTCTCGCACTTGTCAATGCGCTTGTAGACGTGGAGGTGCTTGAAGTCGGCGTCTTGGTTGTCGCGCCGATACATGGTGAACATACGTAGCAGCTGCGCGGAGGAACAAACAGTTGGCGGGCGGCGGGCATTGACGACGAAGAGATGCGGGTGGATTCATCATCCCCGCGTGGTCGACCGATGAGGAAGACGCCGCCGCACGCGCCGCGTTGTCGCGGGCCTTCTTGGCAATGGCCCTGTTCCGCCGGTCGGTGGTGACTGCGTCGCGTCGCTGAACTTCCACTCTCCACTTGGCGTTCAACATGCCCGGTGGCTTCGATGGCGGCGCCCTCGGCTTCCTCTGCTTCGGCTGGGCCACGGTGCCAGTCGTGGTTGCCGCCGCGCGTGGCATGGCGTACTTCTTCGGCGGCATGCCGGCGACTGGAAGGCGAGCTGGAGGGGGTTTGGCGGGAGAAAGGGAGAGAATGGCGGGAGGAAGGCGAGCGAGCGGAGGAGATGCGAGGGAAAAGCGTCAAGAAGCGGCGGGAAAAGGCCCTCGGGTCGCCGCCAGGGCGGGCCCACGCGCCTTTTTCACTTTTGCCGGCTCCCCAAGCGCCCCCAGGGCGCCGGGTTCGGTCTGGGTCCGCCGGCACCAGTTTTGGCTCGAGCCGGCGAAAAACGGGCTTCTGGGGCGCGACTGGGCCGTTTTTGGCGCCGACGCGGCAAAATCGCTTGGGGAGGGCCTGTTGGGGGCGCGGCTGGAGATGCCCTAACATTATTGTGTTCCTTGTCTTTTTTATGAAACGATAGAACAAGATTATCTTGTCCAAACCAAACATGTATTATTGTACATGGAAAATTTGTCTAGGGGATGCTCTAAAATAATATCTATGCACGGTGAGCTGGCATTTATATATATAATATCTTTATACTGGCAAGAATATATATACTCACAATTGAGGAGGGTTCAACGTTATATTGACAAGGCCCGCCCCGCATCGTCCTCCCCCTAGGGCGACTCGGGCAGTCAAAAACCTAGCCGCCGCTGCCGCCGCAAACTCCCTCCTCCCCTCCCTCCGCCGCTGTCGGAAGACACCGCCGGGCTAAGCCCGGGGGCCGACGACGGTGGCGGGGGATCTCCTCTCTCGTGTGTCTCCAGGGTGGGGCGGACCCCAAGGCATGTGGTGGCGCGACCGATCTGGGATCTGCGACGCGGCAGATGGCGGCAGGCGGTGGGAGGCCGACCCGTCCTCGGACGGCCACGGCTTGGCGCGGCGGCCCAGGGCTGCGGGCGCTGCGGATGGCCCTTCGGGCGGCGGCTGGCTTGGCTGCGGTGGCGTGCATGCTGTCTTCAGATCGGCGACGGCGGCGTGGAGGGCTTGGTGGTCTCGTCGGCGGCACCTCCGATCAGATCTGTTCTGACCGGTGCAGCCGGCAGCGGTGGTCATCTCTTCCGTTAGAGGTGGTCGGCCTGAGGCTGGGGGTTCGGATCTCGGGATCCATCATCTGGCACCAGCTGCGAGTCAGGGAGACGTAGTTGCCGGTGAAAACCGAGCCGACGGCGGACGATGGCGGCGTTCCACATCGTTACCTTGATGAAGGCATCGTCATGTGACTTCCGTCGACCCACTCGTATTGCTTCGGGGGAAACCCTAGGATCTGGTGTTCCAGTCCGAACGATGGCGGCACTGCGGTGTCGTTTCTCTCTTGGGAGCGTCGTTTTGTGGAGCAGCGCTGGAAGTCAGAGGCAAGAGGTGGAGTGGCTTCGTCTTGCACGGAGGTTCGGTGGAGATGTCAAGTCATGCCTGACCGACAGGTGCTACGCTTGGTCATGCCTGGTCGGCAGGTGCTACGCACGACAAATCCTCCAAAGGCTTCAAGTTGTGTCGGCTGGTGGTACGTGGCAGCATGACGCTGAGGTGTATCAGTGGCGACCGCGACGTGTATAGCTGTTTGCGTGCAGGGAGGAGGTGCCGTTGGGCGCCGTGGTAGCGTCGGTGATAGCTGGATCGAGCAAGGTTGATGCATTAGTACATTTCTGAAGATAGAGTGGTGGCAGTTGGTGGCGGCGGCATCTGAGAGCACGCCGGACCAGTGTGTGCCCCAGACCCGGTAAGTGGCTAGGTTGGGGTCTCAGGACTTAGATGTTAGGCTTGGCTGCGATGTCTGTTTGGTATTAGGCCCAGACTATCTGCGCCCCTTCATCAACTGGATAGATGTAGCGACAGTTTGTTGCTTAGACGACGGCTTAGTCTTACTGTTATATGACTTTGTAAGATCTTATAAAAATAATTAATAAAATGGCCGTATGCATCGCTCAGATGTAGAGGCCGAGGGTCATCCTACCTTTCTAAAAAAAATTACTAAAAGAACCTACTATTTTGGTCACCATGTTTAGCGCTTAGGAGGCAGGGACGAGATCGACATGGTCGCTTTCACGATATAATTTAAAATGGAAAAATCTTGTTATCATGACTATATGTAATTCATAAACACGTAACTAATCATACTCTAGCATAAACTAATGCTAATACTAGCAACAACTACACTGTGGTCACTTGTGACGCTCGAGATCAACTATGCAGCCAGTCGTATGCCGCTAAAAGGACCCAACCATGCATGCATTGATTAGTTAATCGTTGTCCGTCGGTACTACCGATGTAAGCAGTTTATTTTTATGGAATTTCTCTGATCTCTAACATAGCATTGCAGTGTTAAAGTAAGCATAACTCTTGGATCCCAATTGGACGCATGGGACTAGCAATTCGATGCAATATTTTTTTTTATTAAATCTTGCATGTAAATTAGAGATGACAAAAAAAATGCCCATAATAAATTATCTTTTAGTCTTATATTCAATAACTAGCCAATCCTAAAAGTGTGGTGAGACATAATTAGCTAAGAGATCATCTATCTCTTGTCTTCTCTTAAAAAAATATTTTTTTATGAGTTTTCTTTTCTCCATTTCATAATTTATCTTACGTGACACTCTTAAACTAACACCATTGTACATATCCTTAAGAAGAAGAGAGAGTCTTCCCTCAAAAAAAGAAGAAGAAGAGAGAGTCAGTTACAATTGCCTGCCACAAGGGCTGGCCATGATCCACCCACCACGGTTACAAGAAAAACTACTGCTCCTCCCTAATACCCACGGCTCCGCTAACAATTCTCGGCCTCCGCCTCCGCCCACTCACTAGACAACGTCGCCAGTAACTTACTCAGAGCATCTCCAACAGCCGCCACAGTCTAAAGGTTTTTTCCTAAAGTCTGTCTAGGACACATCTAGATGTCACATCTAAATTGATGTCCACTCTGTTTGTGGTCTATTTTTTTTATATTAATTTTTTTATTTTTTATTGCTACATTATATACTTGTAGGAGCTTAGATGTGACATCCTTAAAAAACATGTGAATTAGACAAACTGCTTTTTCTAGGCCAATGATTCTGATTCTTTTTTGAGCAGAGTTCCCCCGAGATTTGCGGCATCAAAGGTGGCTTTCCCAATTACAACTTCATTGCATTAGAGAAGTACACCTAGCACGTACGTTACATTACATTACGGTGATCTCCAGGTTCAGTCAGCGGTCCAGGTTCAGTCAGCGGTCTTCTTGTAGGTATACCACCGTGCGACGAGCAGGTACGCGCCGAAGTTGCCGATGCAGAGCATGGCGAGCAGCCAGAAAAAGTAGTCCAGATGGCCGTCGTTGATATCGTCGGGGATCCACGAGCACCACGTCGCGCGCACCACGACGGCCACGAGCGCCGAGCTCGCGTAGTTGCCCAGCGCAAACGCCGCGCTGGAGAGCCCCGAGCAGACGCTCCGCATGGCGTCCGGCGCCTGGTCATAGAAGAACTCCATCTGCCCGATGAACGTGAACACCTCTGCGGCACCCACCACCACGTACTGCGGCACCTGCCAGAAGATCGACATCGGCACGTACCTCGCGCCGTCCTCGCCGGTGTAGGTTCCGTGGCGCGCGACGACGCGGCGCCGCGCCACCTCGAGCGTGCCGGCGGCGAGCATGGCAACAGTGAGAATGACGAAGCCCACACCCATGCGCGCCAGCTGCGTGAACCCGCAGCGGTGGCCCGTGAGGCGGCGCGCGAGCGGCACGACGGCGTGGTCTTAGAGCGGCACCCAGAGCATGACGCTGAGGGTGTCGAAGACGGTGAGCACGGCGGGGGGCACGCGGAAGCTGCCGACGCGCGGGTCCAGCGTGTCACCCTGGAGGATGAAGGTGGTGGTCATCTGCGTGTAGGCGGCCGCGAAGATGATGCCGCACGCCCACACCGGCAGCAGTCGGAGCACGCACTTGAGCTCCTCCACCTGCGTCACGGTGCACAGCCGCCACGGGCTCGCCGGCCGCGCCTTGTCGCCCGCCGTCTCCACCGCCGCCTTGTCCAAGAACCTGAGTGATCGACAGCAACCGAGCAGTGCAACAGATTAATAATATTTTACTTCCAAAAATCCACCAACATCACTTTCAGTTTACATATGTCACATTGTTATTTCAATTTCATAAAAATATTTGACATTTCACCAGTAGCACTTTCAGTTTAGATATTCACACATCACAAAAGTCCTATTTCAATTCTTTCAAAAACATATTCACAAACTGGTTTCAATTATTTGAAACATCCACTTAAATTATTTCAAACCATACATTTCAGTTATTTGAAAAACATATTTCAATAGGATCAATTTCATATTTTTCGCAATTATTCAGTTCATCCATTTCAATTATTTCAGAACATATTTCAGTTTTTCAAAAAAAAGGGATTTCACTTATTTCGGGTAAGACTCCACTACTTAAAAAAAAGTGAGTTCATCCCTTTCGGTAATTTCATAACATATTTCACTTTTCCAAACTTACAAAAAAATCACTCTTCTGAAACATATCAATCTCACTAAAACCTTCACTCCTTCTCGAATACACTCATTGGTCCTATTCTAAGCAGTTCCCCACACTAGAATAAATTTAGTGAAATATGTGGATTGAAATGTTGAAATTTGAACATGTTTGAATTGTATCCAAATTAATCTTACTTGAAATGTCTTGACGCTAGGAGTTGAAATATACATAAAGTTTCAAAAATGTAATTGTGGTTTAAAATATCTGAATGGTTTAAATTAGCAAAGATGAAATAATGTCTTTGTGGGTTGTAGACTAGAACCGATTCTAGCTTTTTTTTTCCTCGGCATGAGCATGCTACAATGACTTACCATGAGGTTTGTTGCTCTTAGATTTTGTGGCGTCAAGTTTTGATCGACAATCGACATTGACCATGCCCTACTAGCACCCTGTAAATCTACTTTTGTGTCAATTGCTATTCTTTAATTATCAAATTTTGTCTAGGTCCAATTCAATTATGTGGTCGGCGCAAACGAGGTAGTAAAGGGATGGAGACATGGTAGGGGTGGTGGCATGGATTGGGAGGGGGCGCGGAGCTGTCCGCGTCGGGTGGCAAAATGGTGGTTAGGCCCCTGGCAGTGGGCCTCTTGACAACAAGGGGTGAAGGGGGTCGACGGCGATGAGGGAAGGAAAGTGACTGAAACTAGAAAACAAAAACATCACCTAAAAGAATAGTCAGTCTTTTTTCCGTTGAAGCAACTTCCTTGGACTTTTGCTGCATTATTGTGGTTATCGATTCAACAAAAGATATGAGTGTGATGATTCGGTGTGTGAACAGTAAAATCAAATAAAATACTCGCAGCGGCAATTAATGTGGATCGAAGGAAGAAGTAAAAAAGATCTGATATTTTTTTGGCATCAAAGATACTCAAATGTGTGATGTGGGTGCTAAAATTCATGGTGTTTGGACATTCGAAGAGGTCAGGGCACACTCATGCAGGAGCGTGACGTTGGTCAGGGTCTCCACGTCACACTTCCTGGAAGTGGCGAGCATCTTGTGAATTCACAAGAATAAGAATGTGGCTAACTCTTATCTAGACGAGACTTAACTATATCTCATCTAACTCCTACACTATTTGATTTTACGCGGAGATTCATATGAATTTTTATTTTTTATTTCACTAATCAGATGATGTAACAGTTAGATGATACTTTGGTAATTCTCATCAGCAAATCTGCACAAACAAGATGCTCAGATTTACTATGGGTTGAATTTTAACAAAAGATAATGTTGGGCAGCTACTGTGAAGAGTGGATGACACCGAGATTAGGTTTGGTCCAGGTTGGCTGATTAGCTTGCTCAATCAGTCACACAGCATG